AGGAAGAGATCGACCGGCGAATTAGAGTAGCCAGCAACGTTCTGCATGAACTAGCCCGACCCATTGTGACTAAAGCAGAGCTCAGTCTGAAAACTAAGCTCTTGGTGGTCAAGTCGATCTTTATTTCCATGCTTACCTACGATCATGAGTCGTGGACCATGATTAGAAAGCTTCTAACTCTGGATCAAAGTGCTGAGATGGGCTTTCTTAGACGAGTCGTTGACCTTACGCGTCTCGACAGGACGCGGAATACTGATATCCAAGAGAGTCTTGTTGTACAGCGTTTGCTTCTTCAGGTTGAGAAGTCACACCTGCAGTGGTGTGGGCACATGTTGCGAATGTCTCCAGAAGGGAAGGCGAAGCAACTGTTTCTTGCCTAACCAACTGGCAGAAGGCCTAGGATGGGCCAAGATAAATCTGGTGCAAAAATATAGATGAAGTCTACTCCAGACGCCGATGATCTTCTGCAAAAGCTCAGTCTCTGGGACAGGATTCAGGAACGTTGGAAGCAATATGTCTGACGCGTCTGCTTCTGCGACTCGGAAGGCGAAGCGGTAATGAAAGATGAAGATGAAAATAGAAAATTCTTCCCCTCTCTCAACGTTTCCCGTCCCTGATGTACGGGCCATGATTTTACTGATTCATTTATCACGTTGTTCTGTAGTCGCAAGTTGATCTACTGATGAAAACGTTTGATTTCCCTTCTTGTCTTTTCATGCAACACAAACAGAGATTCTTGATTTTGACAACTGTCATTAGGACAACTGTGAAATTTCTTGTACATGTGGCTACCATCTGAGTATAGCGGATGTAGGTCAAAGCAACATGAAATGTTGCCGAGAAGAGAAATAGAATGTTTCCTATGATAATCACTTTTAGCCGGGGTATGCACTTTCTTACAGTAGTATTGCTCTAGTGTATAATAACGATTAGTGCATCGCAAGAGGAAATACTTTTCTCCGAAAGCACATCTGCCTCTAGTATGTTCTTCGATGCTGCATGCTGCTTTTGTGGTTTGTCTGCTGTCAGATTTCGGCTCTCTCATTGACTACAGTAAATTATGCATACTCAACCAGTCTGCCTAAGAGAGTCAACCTCATTGTTATAATCTCAATATCTACTAAGGTCAAATGCGGCTGGAAGAAAGTAGAACCATTCCTTTCGTTATAACAATTGTCAACGCAGGACACAGGTAAATTTTCGTGCTAAGAGTAACACCTTTCTAAGCCCAAATACGGATAGTTTTCCAGAAACACTCCTGTCAATGGCCATCGTTCAATTTGACTGTTGCTGGACCGTTCCATCACTGGAGACCGTGAAGCAAAGATCCGTAAACTGATCTACCTCTTTGTTACACCCGTAGATCAGTTGTATTGAATAGCGTTCTCAACTTTTTGGCTTCCAAATGTTAAGGTGCTCAAGGAGACCGTAGCTGTTTGCATACGAAAGCCGTCCTGTGACAGAACCCGCTTTGTTTGCTATTTATGGAGACAATATCATATCCTTATTTCAGGTCAGTAACAGATTCCAGCCAGATGCGTTGAACTGCGCGTTCCTTCTCGAATGACAAGTTCGTCTTTGCCAGGGTCAGCACTGTTTTTGAGAAGAAAGTTGAGAACAGTGTTTAATAGCAAAGGCGAACTGTGCGTCTCTCTAGAGATATCCTTCAGTTTTGACAGGAAACTTGGTTCATGCAAGCATGACCTTCAAAATGAAAGCAATGAGTTCAAGTATCACAAAACATTTCAAGACTTTCTACATCATCAGATAACGTAGTGAATCAACTTGAGCTTAAAGTCAAGGACTCTGGCAAACCAAGGCATTTAAAATGGCTGGCATCTTTTAGGTGTCCAATTCAGGATGAAAATTTTTGATATGAGCGGTCTCCCATCCACTGCCTGTCTTGTCTATTCCAGTTAATGTAGAAGAAAAGTTTCCCGACAGTTAGCAGCTAACTGTGACACCATGGCGGCTGAAACATTCGATTGTCCGACGACGTAGAGGAAAATTTACTCCACACCTGCATTTCCAGGAGGTCCACATTTGAAGAAGCAGGGTATGACGCTTATTTACCATTTCAGTGCCTCCACCCTTAGTTAACTGCAAAGGAATTCAATCGACTGCACAGGTCCTCTTCTTTTTGAGGTGTGTTAATGCTTTTCAGTGGATTTGTGCTAACATTCAGTGATGGCGACAATTAACTATCAGAAATGATGATAGTGATAAACAGCCAGTGAGAGGCTGCTAGAAAAGTTAACTACCTTTTGAGAAATTCCTTGTGACGTGCCGATTATACACCTTTAGCGTGTTCCATAACGGGACAGACAGAGTCATTAATTTGAAGTTAGAATATGCTTATTGAGTTATTCATATTAGCATTTTCACCAGAAAGCTCGTAACGGCTTTCACTGACTTTAACGATCGTCATCTGAAGTTTATGATTAGCCACTGCTAAGGTATTATCACAGCTGTGAGAACGTATGTTCGGTCAGCGCCGAGGAAAGGCACGGTCGTATGACCGAATTCTCTAAGAATCTGCCTGCAGTATTTTGACTCAGCGCTCTGCTGCGTGATTGAATCTATGAGGCTTCGAGACTCGTCTCGATTCGGTGGCGAAATTCATTCTGATCAACCGCCGACTCATCACCACCCTCTCCTCCACGTTTTTCTTTGATATTTTCTACCTACCCTTCATGTCATACATAATGCATCGCGTTTGTCGGCGCCAGTGCCGATGACCACCCTGACGTTCTTACGGAAGCAAAGTCGCTTCATGTAACATGTAGCTGTTATTAGAGTCGTTGTGCTGTTAATATAAGCATTAGGTTACTGCATTGTTGTCAGTAGTACAGTCAATCGTAGTGTGGCGTATTGGCATGGTGTAAGAGGTGTGTTTGAAACTCTGCAGGTTCCTGATTCGATTCCGCTCGAGGGAAATCGTTGTCATATTCAATAATTCTCTTAGACAATGAATTTACCATACATTATTTCAGACTGGGATTACTCAGTCGTTAGAGCGTCTAACTCAAAACCGATAGGTCGTGAGTTCAGGGTCAGGTCAAAGTCATTTACTTTTCTTCCTTCCGAGATTGATAAATGAATTCCACTCTGTGAGAATGAATAAGGTACCTCACATTATACTTGCCACGTGGTTGTAGACGCCGCCTTAAAAATCAGTAAAGCACTCCTCGCTGATTGCGCAGAAACGGAGATCACCATTATACCATCAATTTCGTGAAAAGAAGGGTGCCAAAATGGCCCAATTTGGAAGGTAAAAGAAGTCCAGCATTTTCACCGTTGCAGGCATTCTTCCCTTTAGCTTCCGTCGTCGAGGGCTTCCGCAGAAGTTGCTAATATATACACTGTTCGTTTGGGTAGTTAGCGCTTTATATAATTCCGTCTAAAGCATGCAAATACGGATTGTACCATCTGCTGTATTTGGTGCCCTGAACCGTGAACCGTTCAAACACCTATCTTTATAACTCTGAGTCCAGAATTAGAAAGAGGTACTATTTTGCTTACCATAAACTTGTAACTAATCGACAATTTGCGAGCGCCGCGTTACTGGCCAACAGTGCAGTAAGAAGGTAGTGCATTACGGATTGTTAAAGCAACAGAAGCGTGTGGATGACAGGGGCAGTTTATTTGGCGCAGTCAAAGGAAAAGAACGAAAGGCCTATGCATGCGGATATAAATGTATCGTCTTCAGGTGATACAGTAAGTAATTCAGACAAGCAACGAATATCAGCTTCCTCTTTGCTTCTGATTCCACGATTTCGAGAAGGGTATCGATTCTTTCAACACTCGGTTTGAGCTATTTTTTGAGGAAACAAAGAACTGAGAAAAGATACAGAAACCTCATTACCGAGAATGCAACAGCTAGTGCAAAACTTCACAAAGGTGCGAACAGGTCCAAAATTTAAAGGTGCCTCCGCGAGGTGACGCTTATCATTCAAGTTATTCAAAATGGCCATGGAATGAATTTTCAGGAAGGATATGCATGAAAATTATTCAGATGTTAAGTAATTGACGTTGTGATTAGAGGTATTATGTCCGAGATTAGAGTTATGGGTGTGACTTACTTCGTGCGTTGTATCCGGTCAAAGGTAGCCGTTAGTAATACTCTAAGACTATATTTTTATCGCGGCGTTTTCGCCAAAAATCTAGCTGTCAGAAAAAAAATCCACTAGAGACCGCTGTCCTGCATCTCGCCTCATTCTTCAGACGTCTGGTCGTGAATCTACCATGGTGAAAACGTCAATGACTTGTACATACTCACAAATTGCTTCCATCTACATCGATAGATGGATCGATCTCTTGGATTTCCGGGAGCAAACTCTCAACTTAGCAAAATATTTTTGCTGAATTTTACTCACCTAGTCTGCAGTATGCGGTTTTGTTCAGGGTCGATCAAAATATCTTGCTGGTAATGCTTGTACTTTGATTGATTGAAAAACCGAGATGCGAGAGTCGTCACCAGAGAGTCTCGTTGCACAGTGTAGAAAGAATTTTTGTCGAAACTGTCAAAATCTTTGAGCCAACAAATGACTCTTTTCACGTATGGAACGTCTTGTTCTAGCCAGCGGGTGAGGCTGAGAATCGAAGCTTTCGTAAGGGGGTCGTGGTAATCGACCGATTCAGGGAAAACGATCTCCACATGATTCGAATACTTGTAGAAGTACTTTTCGTGATTTTCAAGGAATTCGTACGACCTGCTAAACCACGGGAGGAGGTACCTCTGACTGAGGTGAATTTCAGTCAAGCTGCAGCTCCAGATGCTCAGAATCATGTAAACCGTGAACAGTAGCAACGCAAGGCAGCGGAACGTTACTGTTGAGGCGCGTTGACCGGCCTTGCGCACTGTGCTCATGCCGTTGTCCAGAAGCCGCTGTTGAAGCATCCGGATATCCGTTTCATTGTAATACGACAAAATCATGTCTAAAAAAACGGTAAAGCTAATCAAGAAGGCACACATTTAAATCTTGCCTGGAAAATCCGTGTCGCCGGTTTCGAAAAACTTGAACCACTTTACACTGGCTGCCTCCTTGTAACCGCAAAGATACATGGCCACGGCGAAGAAGAAGATGACGAAGCAGGCGAGGAACACGGAACTCATCGCGGTGTAGATGCAGATGTGCCGCAGCATATCGTCCCGACAAAACATGGTCGCCGTACTGTACGCCAGAAGAGCAGCCAGACATATGAGAAAGATAGATGCAACGTCACAGTTCATAATCACTTTTAACTTCTCCAGGGGATGTATGGCTGAATTCGAGTATTTCCTCCAGGACTGGATCAAATCGAAAGCAAACAGAAGAGCGACAGCTTAAAGTTTAAACCATTTCTTATAGCAGTATTTAGTTTGGAACGGAACATTTGGTGAACATAATAATTATACGAAATTATACTGTACAATACAATTTGGAAATGAAGCATGTTAGTTAAATTATATTAGATCCTCCTAGCATTTGAAGCCATTATAAATAATGCTAACTTTGGTTTCTTATCGAAGGGAAGACACAAGCCACAGCTTTGTCGAACCTCCAGCGAAGAACAAAGTGATATAATTTATTACACTGTCAACCTGTTTTACTTTACTGCTTGTGAGGCCGTTCGTACCA